TAGTCTTTTCTTGGTTGATTTCAAAGAGAGGATTATTGGCGTTGTTATAATTTTTCTTTGATTTCAGGTATTAGGATTTTTTTCTAACTATTTTCAAGTTTTTCATAAATAGGTTCAAAATCAAACTTTTAAGAACGTTGGGCCCTAGAGACGACTATTGGCTAGGACTAGGTCAAAAACTAAGATGAATACATGTTGAATTGCGCTAGGGAGAATTTTTTTACGGTTTCTTTCTAATGAAAAATAAAGAAAATGCAAAATGAAGTATACTATCCTAACAGAGCTTGAGCGTAGCAGTACTTTGGGTCTCGTTAAACACGTACTGTAATGTCCACCGAACATCGGGTACCTATTTAGTGATCCACTTTGACCAATTGAGAAGTTCTTTATTAGGATGAAAATTGGTAATTTTCAGTGCGGTCTGTCTGAGTTTTTCGGTTATCATTAAAAAAAATGATTCAGATACTGGTTTTGGTATTTGTTGAGTATAATTATGTTCCTAAGGTTGATATTGTGTTTGAGAAATTGGTATTTATGAAAGAATCATAGCAAAGTCATTGCCGTCTGTGTGTTTTTATTTAGTAGATTGTCGTTTTTTGGTTATTAGTCTATGTGTTTGGTAATCCTTTTGCCAGTATTTGGCGATAACAGATGTTTTAATTGTTGATTGTAATGTTGTTTGTGGGAAGAGACTTTTGTCTTTGCTATTTGGTGATGTAAGTGCTGGGTGAAAAGGGGAAATACTTTGTTGTGTTGTTCTAGGTAATGCTTGAACTATTTCTTCATTTCTGAAATGTGATGTCTTGTTGTGAAAGTTTTTAGTTCCGTTAAAGGTTTCTTGTGTGTTTCTGAATGTTGAAATCAAGCTATTTTTGCTTGTTATATAATTAATTATTGTATTCCAATTTAAGGGTGCAGTGTCAGTTGTGATTGGAGTTACTCTTAAAAAATCTTTGTGTACAGAAATAATTGCGATTACTGCCCTTGAAATATCTTTTGGGATATTAAAAAATAGTACATGAGATCAATCAGGATCCCATACATAATCTATTTTGTCTGCTAATATTGTTTCATCGTCAGTTTGTGGTCTATAATTTTTTCTGCTTGTAAGTCTAAGTTGTGTTGGAAACAATCTATTATGAACCATGCTAGGATTCTTTGTGGATCAGTTTTTATTATTTGTGATAATTCATTATCAGTGAAAGTTTCACGAATTGAATAAAGAAATTGAGATAAAAGATAATTTTTGGTCTCACTATTGCGTGTCGACATGTTTGTGGTGGAAATACATGAAATGTCTCATTTGTTTCTAATAAAGAAACATAGCTATAAATGATGGAAAAAAAAATGTTTGTGAAAATGGAGTTTGCTCCTTGTGAGTTTTGATTTTGAAAATTTTAAATATTTTCTGTGAAAACTTTTGAGATGTCTAATTTTATATCATCTGTTTGTTTTCGTTATGGTGGTTGATTTGATGATTGCGATGATAAAACTCCGATAGTAGATGTACAGTTATGTGAAGTGACATTGCAAATGCTTGGTAAAAAAAGATCGAGTACTTTTCTCTTGATTTTTACTTCAAAAAAAAAATTTTGTTGTTTAAATGCGCTATTTCTATTTTCGAACAAACTTAGACAATGGTAAAGTTGTACTTGTCCTCTAGCGTAATCGCTTTGTGGGTAAATAACAAAGGGAAGAATAGAACCATCGTCATAATTTTCATCGTTATGGTGTTATTATCAAATTGTATTTTCCGTTTTCAATTTAACAATTGTGGAGCACTATTGTTTGTTTGTTTCATGGATTATTTCTTGACATAAGTGTTAGAGTGATGGCTGCAAAATACAGGGGTTAGATTTTTTGTTTCCTAAACTGTTAGTTTTTACAATTTTTGTGGGGTTATCCTAATCTTGGCGCATTTGTTGTCGAGTGTAGACGGGTTGAAGAGAGACTATATCGTTTCGTTAGATAGATTTGTAATTTCTCGGTGGCTAAGTTTTGTTTGAAGAAAATTTTTTAAATCTTACTTAGGGTTGTGATTTGTGATCAAAAGTTGGAGAATGGTAAATCAATCCCCAAGGTTCAGGTATCATTAGAACACAAGTTGATTGTCAGACACTAATTTAGGTCATACTAAGTTTAAGGTGTGCTTAAGCCTGGGTCAACTAAGAGGAGAAATTTGAGTGAAGGAGGAGTAACCGAAGTTTTTTACTGTTTATCCTACTTAAAATGGTTAGTTATTCAAAAAACTTCTATTAGTCTTGGGTCGTTGATAGGTTTGGAGAGTTAATCGACGTTTGAGGTCGTTACACATTTTTACTAGAAGTTGGGGAGAACAAAATTGTTCTGATTGATCAAAGGAAAGCCTTGATGATCAATTTTTCTTAAATGAATTGATTTTTAAAATTAAGTTTAAAATTAAAGATCCAAGGATAGCCTTGATGATCTGGTTTAAAGAAAGTTTAGATTATTACAAAACAAAGATAGGCCTTGATAAAATTTGAGTTGAACAGTTAAGTTTAGGGAAAGATCGTAAACTTAAGAAAAGGTTGATTTAAAAGTTAAGAATTTAATTGATTTCAATTTCTAATTGATTATGGTTATGTTTTAGATGAAGGAGAAAAGATAAAGATACATGTCCTTGAGAAGCAAGGAAGTTTTAATAAGTTTGATAAATATAACTTCAATTTAACTAGTAAATAATTTTTGTATTTTTGTTAAATAAAATATAATTTTACAAAAACTTTAAAGTAACTGCAGATTTAATGAAATGAACGACATTTGTATCTTTTTTTTTAATCGTTTTTATGTTATTTAAAAATGGTTATACATCATTGAGAGGCGAATGACTTGGAAATGACTCTTACATGTTATTGAACGAAAATCTACTGCATTGCGAATTTTGTAGTAAAAAAAACGTTGCAGTCTGCGTCGTTTCACGATACATGGGCTCGGTCTGCCGTTCAGGTTTTGAACTGGTGTTTGCTGTATCGTTTGAAGTAAATGTATTAGACTAACTGAGACGTAGAGACATACTTAAAAAGCTTCTATACTATCGAACATTTTGTGTTATAATTTTGATCATATTTCTACTGCATTTTGCTAAACGTAATTTTTTTGAGGTCTTGTTCTAGACTCTTGGCCGCACCAGATGAGTTGAAATCCGGGGTGGCTCACTCAATGAGTAATATCAGATAAGATACACCGTCTGTTCGTCACGCTATCTGATTTTCGACCGGATAGATTCGTGTAACTTCTTAGTCTAATACCGATCTTAATCTAACTCTTATATCTCCTAGTCTCAATTGATCTAGTGTATAATGGTGTTTGCGATTTAGATATCTGACTGTCTGAAGGAGAACGACTGTCTTCTAAGTTATATATTTTTTGTTCTGTTGCTGAAACTATGAATTGTTTCAGCGTTACAAATAATTGTAATTGTTAGTTATGTATCATGATTGGTTAGTTAGAAATATTTTATAGAGATAGTTTCATCAATAATATAATTGGATCTAAATACTAGTTTTTAACTGGTTTCAGGTAAAAAATTGCTTGCTTTAAATTGTAAAGGCTCACACCAACTGATAGAGCGTCAAATGATCCGCTAATAATTTCCCTGTGGAGCCTCGAAAACACTAATTAGGTCTGAAGAGATGCTTAACTGCCTGTAATCTGGGATGAAATCAGGATGTCAAAGAGTGATTAAGGTCACTGAAGTTTCCTTAATCTTCTCTCCTCGATTCAGGGCTGACGTTTTACACAATCTGTGACTGCTATTTGTTAGAAGTGAACAGTTATCACTTTTTTAAACTAAATAATATGACAGAGGAAAGAGCAGTTCCCGTAACGTTTTTCTTCTTTTTGACTCTGAATGACGTTGAACATGTTTGCGTTAAGAAATTTCCATTTCAGTTCCTTTGTCTAAAACTCACTGACGTTTCAATTCAGTCAAGTTTGAAATTATTTGTAATAAGCTTTTCTAAGAAAAGCCAATGAACACTAATCGATAAATTATTCAGTTATCTTTTGATGTTCTAGTCTAATAATGAGCATGAGATCTTAACTTGTTTAGAAGATTAACAAGTGCATAAAAAGGGGTAAATAATTAATGAAAAGAAAACGAGTATTACCTCAAAAGTATTGCAATTATTATATAAGCTTTGAATCCGTATCTTTTTGTATTTCATCATTTTTAAACCTGTGAACTCACGCAGAAACCCCAATTGGTGTTTTCGAAGCTTAAAAACATTCAATAATTTTAATGGTATAAAAAAACGGTAAATCTTAAAAGTAAAATTTCACTAAAATTTTAAGGCCACTTCCAGGTCGAGAAAAACTCGGGAAATAATTATTTTCGAATTCGTTTACCGAGTATGTTGAAATAGGTTTTATGGGTCATCGAAGCAAAAGAAGGTTACTGGAACTCATTTAAATGCAAAATTGAATTATGCCAACTAATCGAATTTTACTCCAATTTCCACCAGGTAATGAAAAGATGAGGCTCAGCGTGGATTACAGAGTTGGGAAATTAAATTTTCCCCAATCTTTTTCGCATTTTTCTTCACCTTGTTAATGAAATCGATTTACTTGTTATCACATTACTTTCTCACATCTTGTACTTCTTTTACCATATGTTTACGATAAACTTCCTCCGCATCGAATCTTAATAAATTGCTCCCCTTTCTATGTCTCATTTTACTTAAATGTCATATTGACTAAAAGCTTTTAAAAACAGTCACATAAAACGGTGACCGGCCTATTAGCATGTGTGCCGATTGTGCCCGTGTAAAATAATGTAGTTTGAAGATTCGCTATTTCACGTTTTGCTTAATCAAATTTCAACTTTGAAGAGCGTGCACTTAGCCGAATTTTTAATTGCGCGAAAGTGAAAATTTATTTCCCATAACATATCAAAATGGTTTTCAAAATTATTTATAACTTTTTTGTCTGAAAAAAGTTAAAGCAAATATCGCATGCTAATATGCACACATGCTAATCGCTACACCTACGAATAAACCCAGTATGAAATCTTGGAAAAATTATGGTTTTTCAGTTTTATTCTGACGGGTTTAAAATTGATGAAACTTGACCTACAACATCCTTACACCAATTGTTAACATCAAAAAGAGACTAAGGTTAGTTAGTTTCGTTTTTTTTGCGATTCACATAGGATCAATCTAAAAGGTTACATAGCAAAAACTAAACCTGCCACAAAGTAGACACGTCGTAAGCCAATCAGAACAGAGAAAAATATTAATTCGTTCGTTTGGTTTCGTATCTCGATCATTAAGAGGCCAAACTGTGCACTGGAGAGGCGCACAAATTGATGTCTGCATGTACCAGTCTTTAAATATATGCTCGAAAAGGTAAGTGGATTCCAATTTCCGTAGATTCCGTGTACAAATACATGCAACGTAAATTTTGTCGGCACATCAGTTTAATTACGGATTCCGCAACGAGCAAACACAGCTAGTTGTTCTGGATTCCGCAAATTTATGCGGCTTCCGCTTGCAGTATGTGGATTTTTCTTACATTTTGCGGACTCCGCTGACAAATTTTGGGTTCCCATTACAGTAGCGGATTCCACGACCGCTTAAGTTTACTGAACCCATTTATTAGTATTTGCTTGCAGATTCCACAAACTGTTCGGGGTTCTGCAAACTTTGATGCAGATTCCGCAAAGTTGCCTGTTTTTGGATCAATTTTGAGCAATACAGTTTTTAGCTATTTGTCAGTGGAATCCAAAACAGCGAAAAAGATTTAAAAAATAGCAATTTTGCGGGTTAGGCAACAGACTGAATTATTGCGGAACCCAAATTAATGCTATTTTTTGTTAATTTTTGCTGTTTTGAACTTTGTACATTTTGTGAATTGTAAGCTGATTCCGCAACAGACCAAAAACAAAAGGATTGCGGCGTCCGCTTACAAATCACAAAATGCACAATTTCGCATCGTAAGGATTGTGATTGGCCTACGAATTGACCGCACTCCAATCTTAAGTCTATCCTGCCTGTACAGCTATTATCAATTGTTTTCTTCACGTTCTTGGCTTAGCTTTGCCTTTGAGCAAAACTATTTTATGGCGGCTACAGATAATGTGAGAGCTCTTCCTTGGACTTAATCATGGCATCACGAGCCTAGATTGTGGTTTCATTTCCAGAAAATCACCAAAAGGTACGTAAGATTAGTTGGAGGTGGCAACGTTGACCGGAGCCACCGGAGGAGCACTGCAGATCAAAACGGAACTGGTGGTAGTGATCAAAAGAGGCTATCGAATTAGTAGGCAATAAGCAAGAGAGCCATATAGAGGATGGCCCGAAGTCCGAGGGGGAGCCCAAATGGGTAGCAGGAAATGCTAAAACTGCGATCAGCCGGGATTTACACCGGAGCACACGGCAAAATGTCCAGCCAGGGAAGCAACGTGCAGTTTTTGTCGAAATGTTGGACACTACGAACGACCGTGCCGACGGAAACGCGGATAGAGAGAGCGACTGGCTGTGGTCCATGGAAACGGAGAATAGGACATAGACGAGTCAGGGAGATGGAGGACATTCAGTCCCAACATGGAGTTCAATCGGACGGGATAACAAGCCGGAGAAGAGACAGAACTCAAGAGATTCCAAAAGCTCAGGGACTTATTTGTTAATGGCGAAACAGTCAAATCGAAAAAAAAAACCGAAGTGCCAAAAAAGATCAACGGGAAGCAAACGAATGTGTGGATTGATAGTGGCTCGCCGATATCGATATTCACAAATGACGAACTAAAAAGCACGGCGGTCTCCACCGGCTTAAAATTTATTGATCTCCAACCCAGAGACATCCAGGTTGGGACTACAGAAACAACCCGCTACACTTACTTGGAGCAACGGAACTGAGACTGGAAACCAACGGATGGGACATTCCGGCTCGAATCAAAAGATTTGAAGAAATCGACCATCCAACAGTGAGAGATTTGATGCTGAGCATCGGGTTGCAACTGGTCCAGCAAGCACCAGGGGCGAGCATAAGGTCAATCCAAGGGGAGAAGCAAAGGCACCAGGAGGAGAAACTTTGCTGGATTCATGGCAGAACTACTTCAGTAAGCAATTCAATAATCATTTTCATCGGGCTGGGAAAAATAGGAATTATAGTGTACAAGCGAAACCTTTTGAGAAACTAATGCCAACACAAAAGAAGAGGTAATGGGTTCCAATAACACTGCAAGACAAAATTGATAAGGAAAATGTCAAATTACCGAAACAAGGACAGGGAGAAAAATTTTAGCAACAATCAGATAAATAAATTGTGTCACCAAGAGTAATAAGAAAAGAGAAAGATGAGTCAATCAAACTAGCATTGGAAACAAAGGAACTGATTAAACAGGTGCATAAATGCCAAAAATCGAAGAAAAGGATACCGTCAGGCACACAATAAGCGAAAGAAATCGCGGGACGTATATTTTTCCACAATGGTCCTAACGTAAGCGTACGGCCAATTACTACTCAGTACGTAAAGGAGCGTACAATGCAAATTCTACTAGTCGGAGGGAAATCAATCGATACGTATAGATCCATTTCGGGCTTCTACGACCTTACAACGATGCATGCGGAATTTCAATAGGTGATGGACGCATACTCTCGGCGTTTCCACAGGAACGCACTTTCATCGACGACATTTTAGTCGTAACCAAAGGCAACGAAGTAGAAGAAACCCCCGCGGCCGGAAAGATACTGAAGATAACTAGACAAAAAACATGTCTTTAAAACTAAAAAAGATCAGTTTTGCAAAAGGAGAAAACGAATGATTAGGCCATAGGATAACCCCGACCGGATCATTACCATTAATCCAAAAAACGGAAACGATCTAAGCTCTAAAAGCCCCTCGCACAGTTTCTTGACTTAAACTTTTAGTGGGCTCAATTCACAGTCTGAACAGTTATCTCGAATCATCTTCACCCTTAGGAACTCTAATCAGCCGGAAAAACGAGTTTAATTGGACACTGGAGTGTCAAACGGCATTCGAACATCTAATTAAACAAGTCGCTAACTTAGTCGAATTAAGGCTTTTCGACGTCTCTCGTGGTATCCGGAACGTATGCGACGCCAGTCATATCGTTCTCAGAGCAATACTTGGACATGGACTGCAACCTTTTCGAGTTTTCGCAGGCGAATGCGTTTATAGACGACATCTTGGTAGTTACCAAGGGAACCGAAATAGACCATATCGGGACAGTTGAGAAAATTCTGAAAAAAATTGATGAGGAAATTATATCCTTAAAGCTCATGAAAGTCAATTTTTTTCAAAGGGAATGCGAATGGCTGGGGCACAGAATAACTCCCACGGGAGTAACACCCTTGATAACGGAACCCATGGAAGCGTTGAAACCGCCCCGTACATTGTCGCAATTGAAAAAGTTTACGGGGTCGATCCATAGCCTTCACAGGTATTTGCCGGCTTCGGCCAAATCTTTAGCAAAAAAAAGACCACATCTGGACAACGGAATGCCAAGACGCTTTCGAAAATTTATAGAAACAAGTTGCATATATCGTTGAACTTCGCCATTTTGATTTTCATAAGGATAAAAGGATTGTATGCGACGCAAGTCATAACGGTTTAGCTGCCGTCCTCAAAAAGTTAGACTCGGAAAGCTGAAGGCTCATCTCGTTTGCTTCAAGATACCTTCAAGATGCCGAAAAAAATACTCAAAGAATGAGGTAGAAATGCTAGCGGTCGTAAAGGTAGCAATTTGTTTTTCAAAATTATGTGTTGGGAAGGAACATCTAAGCAAACAAGTCGCTAACAAAGTCCAATTAAGACTCCTCAATGTCTCTCGTGATATCCGGATGGTATGCGATGCAAGTAATAATAGACTCGGAGCGGTACTCGAACAAAAAGGCTCCGAAGGCTGAAGGCTCATCTCGCCTTTGCATCAAGATACCTGAACAACGCCGAAAAAAAAATGCTTAACGAATGAGGTAGAAATGCTAGCGGTCGTATTGGGAGCGAAATATTTTCAAAAATATGTGTTGGGAAGGAAACTTTTAGTCACGTAACAGACTTTAGGGTGCTGGTTCCATTACTAAACGGTAATAATAAGAGAAACAAGATTATATTCAGCCGACAAACTCGGTGGCTTGACCACATAAATTCTTCCAATTTCCAAGTACACCACAAGCCAGTGGAGAAATCCACCTGCCTTGTACAAAAACTAAGCCCGTTAGGATGAACAATAGTATGTTCATGGTGGAAAAAGCAACTTCAATACGCGGCGCCCTCGGATTTTTACTTTAATTAATTGCAAGATGCCCAACATAAAAATAGACTCAACTCAAAGCAATTTAACCAATCAGAAACGAGTATGCAAATTTAAGAATGAAAACGGCCGATAGGGGCAAAAACGCACGCGCTAGAAAACGGACCAATCATAGGCCGCTAAATTGAATAATCCGATGATCAACTGACAAAATAGCGAATTCAGTTGGGACAAAAATTGTTTTAAAAGTGAAAAACTCAAGAATGCTTGAACAAATATTTAATCAAATTGTAATGGGCAAATAAAACGGAAACTATTTGAAAACATCTAATTATTTGTAGCGGCGACGATGAAAAAGAAATTAATACAAAGATAGCAGCAATTTCTACAGAAATTACTAGCTTGAGGTGCAACTTGATTGTTTCCATTCCGTCGCCTTCCCGTTTGAAACGTATCCGTCGGTTGAAACAAAAAAAGTTATTATATCAATTGTTCCGCGCTATTGTAAAATTGTAAATAAACAGACGGTTTTATCTGTTTTACTGAAATTCTGCTTATAGAATCCCAATGCTCGGCCGGTCCTCAGCTACAAGCAATAATAGAGATATTAAAGTATAAAAACCCGGAATTTCACACGAAATGTTATGCGTCGAGCGAGTATTATGCTCAATATAAGCACGATTTCCACCTAAGAGACAGATGCCTATGGATGGGTGAAAAGTTAGTTTTCCTAAACACACTGCATGTGGTGGTGAATATTCGGCTACATCAATAATATCACGGGAATTTGAGCATCTAGGCTGCGACCAAGGACGTGTGGTACCCGTACATTTATAAAAGCCCTGATTCGATCGTGGCAAACTGACGGGATTTCAACGTAGCCGGTGGGAATATGAAAATGTGTCCCAAAAGAGACTTAAGGAAAATACCGGAACCAAAGGAACCAAACGAATCAGTACAACTTGTGGGGACTAGTAAAGTACTTAAATGAGTCTAAAAAATATATCATACTAGCAGCTGATCGATTTTCAAGGTGGCCAACCGCAATGGTATGCGGACCAAACCGTTTGGATTTGATACTTAAGTGCCTAAAAACATGAATATATACCCAAGGTGTACTTCAACGAATTGACGCAGACCAAGAACATACTTTAGGTTCAGAGTGGTCAATAATTTTCACAATGAGGAAGGACTCGAAACCATCCCATCGCCTGTGAACGACCACCGAGCGACGGGGTGAGTGCAACGAACAATCGGAAATTTGAAGAACTCAGTGTTCACTTATGATCAAGAAGGGAAGATGAAACCCCTGGAGGAAAAGTTCAAGAGGGCCCTCGGAGCACTAAGATTTTCAAAAATTACTACCCTCGAAATTATGTCATATGAGGCCCATCAATTACGCGAGGCAAAGACGGTTTTAAAAGACTTCACGAAAAAACCGTCAGTACAAAACTTAAAATGGGCATACGCAGTACGATCTAAAAATGGTAGCTTAGATGAAACTGACTTTGTCGCGCAGAGCATGCCGCACCCGGCGGACACCAACCGGGGGGTCCTGTCTGTTACCGTGTACATTATCAAACACAGATATGACCTCACCAGGTTAACCCAGGACAAGCAAAACAACCCAGACGCTGAGCCATCGTCTATAATTCAGGCAGGGACATCGCCGACAACAGCGCCATCGGAACTAATCTTCCAGCGGACCGGAGTCGGAACTGCTCTCAACAAATGTAAGCTGCTGAAAACGAAAATCGTAGCGCACAGCAACCACACAGTTCAAATGAGTAACGGTTGTTACAGTTCAAATGCTTAGGAAATCTGTCGTGACGACACGAAAGATAATGACGCCCAAAAGAGAGCACACGGAGCCATCAACGCTCGCGCTACGCCCGCCGAAAAAACGTGGGCGCAAAACAAGCGAATTCGAAAGAGTAAACCGCTTCGAAAGAGCAGCTACCCTACGCGAAGGAAACTTAATCCGGAGAACAACTCGGAATCCGATGACGACGTCGACGACAAGCCGCTCTCGATAAAAAGGGGAGAAAACAGTACAACCTAGCAATTACGAAACGGCGACTGAGCATGCAAAAGCGACAAAAGCGGATGAGGAAAAGAAGCGACGAGAAAACAAGGCGAGCCTTCCGCATCGGTAACAACAATTCCCAAGGCGGACGGGAAAAAACGAGTTAGGAAAGAAAGATTGGAGTCGTACCAAGCCAGGAAACGATCAGCTCACAAGAATAAAAGTCATCAAAACGGAGCAGAAGAAAGCGAAGGGCAGTAGACAATTCAATATAGGCGCGTTTATGATAAACAAAATTCAAAAAACCAGAAAGGAGAAACTGAGTGGAGGAAGAAAAGGGACTAAGACACCGATTCAAAACTTATTTTAAATTTTTTTGTAAACCAGTAGTCTAGGGATAAGGGCAATCTGATAGTCATTAATTTAGTTCACACCATTTTAGTTCTGTTCCCACACTGTCAAATTCTGGTGTTAACTGTTATTGAACCGTCAGATTTGTCTGTCACCTTTGCTTGACCTCTATTTCATTGTCTCCGACAAATTTTATGATATACAGTTCTTCATTCTATACTCTGAAACTTACAGTTCGACTTACTCTTTCTAAACAGCTCACACTCCGAGTGGTACCTTTTTCCTGCACCGAGTTTGGCTCACGTTTTTTAGTAGGTCTTCTATGTAAAATAGCCAACCAAATAATGCGAGGGGCGAAACGCGTCAATCATAACAAATTAAGGGGCGAATTGCAAGAAGAACCACCAGATGTGTTGTAGTGGATACTTTTTTTAGGTGATGAATTCAGTTCGGTCCAAGGGGGGTTCTGAGAAGCAGTCAGGGACGGAGGAGGAGGATGACAGGGAAGGGAGTGCCTCGAGGAACATGATTGAGGTGATCAAGCGACGCAGGAACCTTACTTCCCCTTTTCACAGTTAGTATGACTTGTACTGAGTCTTCAGAATACCCTAGACGCGTTGACTCGTGATGTCGCTACTCAAAAGTTTTACCAACAAATGAAAGTGACGAGGAACTTAGTGTTCTGGTATATTTTATCGTTGAAAACATTTTTTTACGCATAATCAGGTACCAAATCAGAAGTAGTTCAGAGAAATATCAAATTAAAACCTTTGCACACGTGATTTGATATATGTTTCGGCAATTTTTTTCTCAAATTCAGAAACAAACTGGTTTGAATTTTGTGAAATTTTTGCTTTTAATCTAATAAAGAGCGAGTAAAACCAGCGAAACAAGAAAATAAAAATACTGAATTAAAAAGAAAAAATATAGCTGTAAAAACTTGTTCTGAAACTTGTTCTGAAACTGTAAAAAACTTGTTCTCTAATGCCAAAGAATTGCAAAATTTAAAAAATGGTTTTTGATTTATTCGTTTTTGAAACTACAGCTCTTAGTAACCAAGGTTCTAGAAAAGTTTTAGTTTCTCAACTTGCGAGTTGATTTAGCCATGTTTTTCTCCTCCAAACAATATATCTGACAACGCCCAAATTTTACCTCTACATCTACTGCTCATCGAAGCTCAACTGACGTGTTGTGACAAACTTATTAAAATATGTGATAAACTTATTGAAAAATTTCATGTAATGACGATGATTATTATGATACTCCGGTGACCTTCATCAAAGAAGCTCTCAATGATGGCAGCAAGGAAACTGAATTGACAAACATTATTGAAAGTTTTCATGATGTAATTGAGACACAAAATAAGTCAATCGACATTATAGAAGAGCAACATACAAACAAAAGCTCAAGACATGATTTTTCAGAACGAGTAGCAGTCTTTGAGAAGTATCCGAGAAAACAATATTTGATGCTCCTGAATTTCAACAACTTTGCATATCTATTGCCGTTGTCGTCAAGTTTTCGGTAACCACCTAAGAGTGAAAATCACCAACGTCTCGAATTTTGCTGCTTGTCCGCTTTTCAGTCATTGTTAAAACGATTCTGGCTCAATACAGTAAGTTCCGACAATAAGTGTAACTTAATCTTACAAAATTACACCCAAGAGTGATTATAGAGGTCAACCAAAGGTGACCGACAGCATCGAAGGCCTTGACCTGTCAAGAGCTAATTAGCACCACAAATGACAGCTGATTGATGGCTAGAAACAGAGAACTTTCATAAACTGAACTAGCATCAACTGACACCCCCCTTTGATAAATGAAAAAATTTAATGACTAGAATCCAGAGACTTATAACTGAGCGAACTGCTAGATGTTATAAACCAAGTTTACAAATTTTAATGGCAAAATTACTGATTGTTAGCTTAATAATGAACGAGTATTGTATGAGTTTTTTGGAACAACTAAAGAACCATTTAATTTAGTGACAAGGTTTTGAGTTTGTGAACGGATACCGGTCAGCCTTCTCCCTGGGCTCACAAGAGTTTTAAAGTTTTTCAGTTTTTTTCTCATTTTTTCTTACTGAATCTCCTTTGCTCGCAATGTAATCTATCATTACCCCACCCATTTTGGTAGCCGCGATTTGTTTGCGTCCACTACGTCGCGACGCCGTCTCACCTGGCTGTCCTCCTGGCTGCTGCAGGAAACTAACCGAGTTTTCCGCGTTTTCTTCTTTGTATCTGCGGTTACCGATTTCTGAGGCTCCCGTGAAGCGGACGAGTTTGCTTGGTCGCATGCCAGAATAGTAATAATGTCACTCCCAGTATCGAGCGGCGGTTCACCCACGGTGTCGGCTTTTTTGTCATCGCCCCGTTTCTCGTTTTGGCTCCCTTGTCCTGTAGCCGGTGTTTGCCTCTCTGGTAATGGCGAAGAGTCGCCGCTGCTTTGCCTCCGTATCGCAATTCTCGATGCCCGTTTCGCCGACATATTTAGCAAATGGTCACGTTCGTCCGTTTCCGACCCACTTTTTGGGTCGAATCATCGTCTCGATCGTTTTCTCTGTTTGGGTTCGGGTTCTGTAACTTTTTTTTTCGTATTGCGCCGTTTTACTTCTTGCGAAGTTGGCGGTGCCGTGTCACTGCCACCTCTGATTTCTTAAGCACAACCCCGTTGTTAAGCGTGAGCGTATGGGCACTTTCTGTTTTCACTTTTGAATGGATTAGCTTACACCTTTTCAAGTTCCGATGATATAATGATCCTGGCCCGCTGATATAACGATCCGGAGGGCCCTGGTTCCTCGGCTTGCACCCTCGGCTTTAAAATGCCCAATTCATTGTCTTGGTACAGTATTTGTTGGTCTGTAAGCCTACGCAAATGGCTTCGATGCTTCAAATCATATGCAAGATCCGACCGCACGCCCCAGTTGGTTTCGGCGGGATGTGGCATTTCTATATCTTTCACGCAAGGGTCAGCTTCATCTAAACATGCATTTTCTGTTTTAATCAACTGAGACCAATTTTGGTTTTAAAGGGGGGTTTTTTGTTAGATTTCTTAGCACCGAATTCGCTTCCTGACCGTGGTGCACCTCGAATGGCGAGATTTTCTATATAGCATTCTGTGAGAACCGGAGTTCGCCAAGGGCCCTTTAGAAAATTTTCTTCAAGGGTTCCGGATGTTTTTCTTGCGCCAATGTTAATATTGAGTTTCTTAGGATACCGATGATACGCTCTACAAACCCGGTTTCACCTGGTATTTTCCTGGGTACTCCGTGGATTGCTTCGTAGGTTTTTAGAAACTTCAGGATTTTATCTGATCGGTTAATTACTTCAAATAGTTAATAGGTCCCCATGAATCAAGTTGAACCGATTCGTTCGGTTCTTTTGGTTCACTTAATTTCCGTTTATGGGGTCAATCCAAAGCCTTCACAAATTTTTGCCGGCCTTGCTCCGCACCGTTCCGGACGACGAAAGGCCAATGTGCTTTCGAAAACTTAATGAAACAAGTTGCATCTATCCCAATTTCGCCATTTCGATATTCCTAAGGATATAAAGATTACATGCGACGCAAGTCATAACGGTTTAGGTGCCATCCTCGTGCAGTAAGGACCTGAAGGGTAGAGGCCGATTTCATTCACCTCAAGGTACCTAAACGAAGCTGAAAAAAGTACTCAACGAACGAATTAGAAACGCTGGCAGTCGTTTTCATAACTGTATATTGAGCCGGAAGTTTCAAGTAGTAACAAATCATAAAGCGTTAGTTTCACTCTTAATTGGCAATAACAAAGAGAGCCAGATCATATTAAGTCGCCTAACACGGTGGCTGGATCGTTTAATCCCATTCGGTTTCCAAGTAGAACTTGAGCCGGGAGCGAAAATGGGTTTAGCTGATTATCTATCGAGAAACCCGAGTAATGTTGGAACGCCGATTAGTACATACAATAAAGATTCGCTAATAAAGGTTCGCTAAGATCAAATCGATACGCACCGCTCTCGGTTTTGCCAAAAGTAATGGAACCAGGGGAACTCATTTAGGTAAAAACACATCCAGGGGTCCGTAAGTTACATATAATAACCAGTCACCTAATCATGGAATTGCGGCATGCAAAGTTTTGTTGCGCGATACGCCAGTAGAGGGCGTCGAGTCATGCGAGCGGAAATGTACCAATCAGAAGCAAGAGAATTGCATGAACCCACGGTTACGCAAAAAGAACGAGAATTTAGTCGGTGCTTATACTCATTCAGAAAGAAGCTACACAAAAATTTTGATATCAAACAGTTATATAAAAATGGACCGAAGCTTTAGGAAATTGGAAACATTTCTGAAAAACACCTTAGTTTAATTAGTAGTAATGAGGAAATAGAATAATTATCAACACATTCAAATTTGAAGGCAATTAGCAAAGAAACTAGATTGATTAAAAGTAGTGTAAAAGTATCGTTACCTTCGACACTTCATGGCGAAACAATTCCACCAGTGGACCTCAACAACCTTTGTATCTCAATTGTTCCCAGAGGATATAAAAATATCAGCAAAAACATCCCATCCTGAGTTATATAAATTACAATCATCGAATCGCAATAAGTTTCTGACCCTCAATTTAACGCCATCAGATAATTGCTTAAAACAAAAGGTCCACAAATTCACGAAAAGTTTATGCAAGGAATCAATATTGTTCCCAATTTGTAAAAGATTTTTACTTGAAAGATAAAGTTGTCTGGATGGATGAAAAATTTGTCATTCATATGAACCTTACTACCGCGATTAACAATCGAATCCACGCATTTCACCACGGCAAGGAAATTTGGTATCCTTATATATACCGCTCTATTGCTTCGATCGCCGAAGATTGTGCCAGATGTACAGCTACAGGTAAAAATCTTGAACCGCTCTTAAGTAAATGTGAAATTGGAAAAATAACTGAACCAAAAGAACCGAACGATTTTTGGGGACCTATTAACCATTTGAACTAATCTAAAAATTACATACTAGTCGCAGTATATTGTTTCTTGCGCTGGCCGTCAGCGATGATCTGCGGTAATAACTGATCAGGTAAAATCCTGAAGTTTTTCCTTGACCCCAGTACGGGGCGGTTTCAATGCTTTGATGGGTATCGTTTTCCGCGCCAAAGGTGTTACTCCGGTTGTCGAAAGTAAATTATCCCCCGGTTTCTTCTCCTTAATCGTTTGCCCCACGGTGTCCATTATTTCTTTCTATATTCGGCAATTGATAATTTTTTTGTGCACTCTTTTGTTTAGTTCTTTCGACTCAAACGCTAGTTTCACTGATCCGTCGTTTTTCACTGTTTTTACGATTGGTGATACGAAGTTTTCATCTGAACATTCTTCTAAATTATCAACATGACCTTGCTTCAGTAATTTTTCAATTTCGTTATCCACCTTGTCCTGCAATGTGATTGGAACTCGCCGGCTTTTTTGTTGTAGTGATGTCAATTTTTTGAAACAAATTGCTTGCACTTTGTAATTTGTGATTTTTTCTACCTTACGAAAAAAGATTTAAAAACTGCTCGCTGAAGTAGTCGTGCCACGAGTCCAGTGCAGCGACTTGTCCCGGATCC